ATTTGATTGCTAATTCGCAGTTTATGTTTATATCATAAATTTCGGCACATGATAATGTTAAGTGTGCAGACCCGCCTCCAGAACTGTTTATGATATATATACTGCCTGTTTAATTTTTATTGGGATCAAGCAATGATTGAACGGTTCGATTATTCCACGAGACTTATGCAACGAGTAACACGATATATATTTTATTTTTTAAATGTACCAATTAATGTTTTCTCAAGCAGTGCAAATTTATATTTCAGTTATGATTATTATTATAACATAATTTCAATTTTCTTATTAGCTTTCTTAAATCGGGAAATAAAAACAAAATTTTTAAGCGACAGTACTAATATATAAATCAGATTCATTTTTTTATGAAAAAGTGCTCAAGGTTCCTCGTTTCATTGTAAAACGTGTTTCGCCTGTTATCGCATAACCGCGGCGTAATCGCAAATGTGTTACCCTCGATTCACGTTTATTTAAATAACGCATTGAACAAATACACTTCCGGAGTCTCGGGAAAATTGTAACATTGTATTATGTGTAAAACAATGTAGAATTCTATGGCATAATTGATCTAAAAATTGGATAAGAACGAAGTCAACATCCTCGTAAATCTTGCGAGCGACCGATATGTTGAAAATAGCGCATCTTCTTCTTAAACTTAAATGTCCAACAGTGATAAAACTTTACTGATTGCAGTTAATATCCTTGACAGCAAGGAAAATAAATGTTATCTGCTGTGCGGTGCGCGGATTTAAAAAATTGTAGATAAGCCATAGATAAACGAACAAATTATCATGTTCGGACAGAAACTATACATAGACACACCCGTCAACTAACTAATAACTTATTAAAATAGCAAAAGAAATGTATTATTTCGTTTATTTTTATATTCAGTCAGACGCAAATGACGCAATTCTTTTATTTTGCTTAATTTACTTTTTAAAGTATTTCTATAGTATTACTAAAGTATTACTAAAATATTTTTTACAAAAAATAAAATATTGGTTATAAAGAAAGAACTTTAATAAAATTAAATTGATAAAATATTTTTATATTTCTCAATAATCAGCAAATGCGACATTTTAAAATTAATTAATTTCTACAAAATAAAGTTTACAATATATAATATTTAAAAATCAATGAAACAACGTATGGATAATTAATCTGTCTATATTTAGATGTAATAAATATAACAAGATTAATCATGATATAGAAATTAGCTAAAGTCAATAATTAAAATTATGTATTAATCTTTTTAACAGAATTTTTTGTTCTTTATTTTTATTAAAATTTAAATTATTTTGTTTGGATAGAGACAGAGAGAGATTTTTTCAACTGATTTATCAATACCTGATTACAATGTTTGATGAACATCAAACATTGCAAATAAAAAATGATTTCTTATAAAAAATGTTTTAATACAAGTCATTGTATTTTGATTAAAATTATCATAATCGACTAACTACAATTTTATTATCGCTATTTTCGTATGAAATGCTTAGTTAATAAGCCATGTTTCTTCAGTTTGAAAAATGATGGCAACATGTAACATATGACAAATAGAAACTAAGTGATGTATTATAAAAAGCAATTAAAAATATCTTACAATTTTATCCAACGACACATTTCTAAACAAATGATAATGTTACATTCTGGACATTGATAAAAATACTTGACATGTGGTGCTGTTATTTGCGCATTATAAAAGATTATTTCAATGCAAATGTGTATATACGTTGCAAAATTACGCGATTATATGCCAAACAGTAAGTAACAGCTTAGACGCAGTTAGCGGTCTAATAGGTCAGATAGCTAATAAATTTACAAATGGAAAGATACCGTTTATACTAATAAGTTATTATATTATTTCAGACAACAGACATACACATGATTCACACTTTTAGCAGGACATGAATGTTTAATAAAGTCTAAAAACAAACTTATTTAAAATAATTATGAATCATTCAAGTTTTAAACTTAAAAAAAATTTTTTTTAAAGGTTATAATTTGTAGAAAAATTAAAAAACAGCAAATAAAGTAAACGGTTTCGTAAACTGTAATTATAGAATATTCCGTTATTTATTATATTTTTTATTGTAAACTATTTGATAAATTTAAACTTAATATTTCCTAAGCAACATTTTCAAGAAATATGTGTTTACCTACTAATTATAGAATATTCCGTTATTTATTATATTTTTTATTGTAAACTATTTGATAAATTTAAACTTAATATTTCCTAAGCAACATTTTCAAGAAATATGTGTTTACCTACTAAATGTTAATTTATAATAATTATATATGGTTACAATTAAATGTTTAATTAAGAAAAGAATTCTTTTAAATATGAATTTTAAAAAATGTTTTTTTCTTACAATTAATTAGAAACAGTTGCTAATAGAATTAAAATGCGCTTTAAAAAAGGCTTTATTTCTTTATTTAATTTCAATAAATTTTATTAAAATACGATTTTAACGTAATGAGTAGTTGCCAAGACATCTAATGTTTGAACCAATGAGATCCAAAAAATGTATAGCAGTCAATCGAATAGTAAGGAAAAATTAATTTTAAATTAGTTGAACAATGTGTAAGTTATGCGCAATTATGGCATTTTTTCAGTGTATTTAAATCTAAAAGCTCATTTGATTATTTTATCATTATCGGTACGTACGAATATGGTATGGATAAGCGTCACATATGCGATCCCCAGCAAGTCGTGCTTTGCGTACTCTGAGGTACGTCGACGAGAAAAACAGACATTGCACGTGGTCGGCGAGTGGCCGCGTGTCTTCCACCCTTCCCCGCATTCACTTTTCCTACCATCCTATCATACATGCGTTGGCCTGCATACGGGTATAAAAGCGAACGCGCGCTAACAGAACGGGTTAGTATCTCTCGCGCAGCGTAAGAACGTATCGACAATTTGTTCTTCCTGTTCACCATTCTCTCGCGAGACTATTAAAATTTGATCGTTAGAAAATAGTGGATAAAGCGATTGTAGATCGACAGTGTGCAAAAATTTTTGAGTGAGAGATCTTCGTCTTTTTTGTGAGTGATTTCGAGAAATAAGCTCAATTAAGCTGGTTATGCCGGTGGAATTGGAATCGATGGCGCCAATCGCTCACAAAACCATCTCCCACAATGGGTAGGCGATCATAATCTTATATTCACTTTAATCGTCTTCTTTGCACAAAGAGGATACGTTGATTTTTTGGAAATAATAGTCCAATGCACATAGAGTTTATCAAATCGAATTCTTTAATTGAAAAAATAAACATGTAAATTATTTAAAAAATATATATTTTGCTTTTCTGAAAAAAAAAATTTATTATAACAAAATTTATATTTTAAAGTTTTATTAATAAAATGAAAAATGTGTTGTAACAAGTAAAATAATTTATAAATTATAAAAACAATCAAAATAAAATGTATTTCCTAAAATTTCAGTATCAAATATATGAAACGTGTTGTACATACAAGTTTGGTCAAGGCGATACATCAATATGTTAACGTCAAACTTTTTATATTACTCTTATATATTACTTTAAAAGTAATTTTTATTGAAATATAACACGTCTTTTCCAAAGTTAAATTCTCGATTGATTTTAAATTTTAATAAAAGTACTATACAGTTATATGTATATCACGCATTTTCTTCTTGTTATATAACATTTACAAATACTTCACGAGCGAAAACGTGCCTCCAAGTATTCGATCGAGAAAGATACGAACAGCTGATCCGCGAGGCCGACAGGTTTTCTCGCGCCGAGCACGTTGACATTAATGACACACTTCCGCCAATTTAGTATCAGCGTCAGACCGTTTCTTTAGTGATTTCAGAAAAAGGGGAAATACGTCAGCGTTAATTAATTGAGTGCTAATTAAATCCTCTTCCTACTGACGACAGTCATTTATAACAATTCTCTTTATCTCGCTACTACAGAAACTATTTCAACCGGAAAATGTCATATTATTAATGCCTTCCGCGTACTTCCTGAGCCTTCTTGTTAAGCTTTATTGGAGTTAAATGAGCAGCTTTCTATAGCAGATCTCCGTTATACAATGTTTTATATATAAAATTTTTAATAAAATATGTAAAATAAATTAATCTGTTGCTTATATTATATGCAATTATAATTTTTATGAAAAAGAAAATTTAATAAATCTATTAACATTTCAACAAAAGCATTTTCTATATTTATATTACAATATAATTTAAAAAAATTATATACAGTTTACTTGTGAATATGTCTCATACGAAATTTCACAAAGTTTATGAAATATAAAGTTTATAACGATTATAAATAAGTAAAATATATTCTAAAATATGTAAAACAGTTGTCCCCGAGCCTTAAAGTATATTTATATATGTATATGCATTGCACGTTCTTCTCTCTCTCTCTTTAAAACATAGATAATAAAATTACTTTTCTGACAATGAACTATTGTTTAATTGATAACGCTTGCTTTTTCAATTCAAAAATGATCTAATTGTTATTTGCAACGATAAAATTTAAAATTACAGTTTTTATAATGCAATAGAAATTTATTAATAAATTGTGTGTGTGTGTGTGTGTGTGTGTGTAAAATAATATTGCGTTTTATAACGCAACATTACACTCATTATGAGAAAGATTTAATTTAAACATTATGTAACTTGAGATACAAGCGTCACAAAAAATGCACTAAATAATTAATTAAACATTCTAATGACTTAGTATTGGCGCTGAGTCATTACAATGTTTTGTTAATTATTTAATGCATTTTAATTAAATTTTTTATTATAATAGAAGGAAAATTATCAAATATTAGCAACACGTTATTTAAAGAACGCTGTGATTTATGGCAATTATCTATATCTTTCTTAAATATAGAGACTTATCACATTTTTCATTAAATGTACATTATAATACTGAATAACAATAAATAATTCAATAAGATATGATTGAGAAATAAGTCTTTCCATCGCAAACGCTTCATATTGCCGATTTTGCCGATTGTTATAGAGAGAAGATGAATAAATTGTGCCGTCAAGTCTCCATCGAGAGCCCGAGCGTGACCGGCCGGGATTGTGTCTTCAGCTTCGATGTACCCGTGCCGGAGGTACCGGAGCACGGTGCCCGCATCCGGGTGATGTGCGCCGGTGCTTGTTACCATCCCCGACGATCGCCGAGTCTAACCAGCTTGACCTCGGTCGAGAGTGCAGGCAGTAGCCTGGCCGCCGACATGTCCGTGGAGAGTGATTACCCGGTGTCTATACCGCATCATGGGGTACGCGACGCCGCTCTGTTCCCCGGCTACGAGGTGGCCGGTGTGATCGAGTCGTTCGGCACCGAGGTGCCCGAGGATCGCGAGCTCGCTGTAGGAGACCGCGTTATTCTCTATCCCTACGACGGCATTCCCAATGGCTACGTCGAATATCTGGTGGTGCACGATCTCAAGTACCTGATCAAGCTCCCGGACAGTATGTCGCTCAGCGTGGGGGCTATGCTACCGGCCGGCGCGCTTCTCGCGATGAACACAGTCTTTGCTGCGCACGAGCACGTGCAGGTATACAATCTTTTCTATTGCATTTCACTCTCGTTAAATTAAATTAATAAATACTCCATAAAAATATACGTTTGATAAATCATGCGACAAAGCAAATTGTTCGGAAATAATAATGATATTTTTCTTCAAAGCTTTCTTCAAAGTAAAATAAAATGTTGTAGGCATTACTGAAAGAGAGGGGCGAAAACAGCGTGTGTAAGATTCTGGTAGTTGGCACAGGTGGTCTTGCCTTGTGGGCCCTCAGAATCGCATCGTATCACTTCAGTAACATGAGAGACAGAGTCACTACTACGATAGCCACTCTCAAGGATGATGGTCTTCAAATAGCTCAGGAGTTCCAACGGTAAGTTTATTCAATTAGATTCTCATATAATAGAACGGAAAATTGATTATATAGTTAGCAAAATGTTACTTAGCAAACATATGCTAATTAACATTTTGATGTATGATAGTAATAAATGGGACTCGAATGGGCTCATGAAGAGTACGAGCAAATTTTTGTATTACACAGAAAACATTAAACGTTTACATAAAGAGATTATTGGCTCTTTTTCTCTCTCCCTCTTATAAGAATATATAAAGACTGAATAGATCAATGAAATGCATTTTCAAATTTAATGCTCGTATTCGGCGGTGCCTTGAAAGTTCAAACGTTTATCGCCTTCTTTGATTTATTCAGCAACAGTCGGCACATTGGTTACAGGGTGAACGTGGTACAGTGGAACGAGGATCTCTACGAGAAGCAGCTAATCGAACGCACAATGGATGCCTGCGGTGGCCAAGTCGACGTGGTGATCGATTTCGGCACGACTTCACGCAACCTCCATCGTAGCATGCAATGCCTAAGTAAGGGCGGCGTGGTGTTTGTGATCAAGGAGGTCGCGGACCGGCTGCTGCCCAAGTTCAGCCGACGAGCGGAAGAGCGGCAGCAATCCATCAAACCGGTGGAACCGGGCACGTTGGAGCAACTGCGGGAGCTGGTGCAGCTCGTCGCCTCCGGCGACATCGAGCCGCCCCCGCACACCGTGTATCCCGCCGAGGAAGCTCTGGACGTCGTCCAAAAGCTTTGTCACTCGGAGATCCAGGGCCGCGCGATTCTTCGCTTCTATCCCGCGGACTAGAAGATTTTCCGTTAAGAGAATTCTCCGCGATCGCGGATCGGGCGACAGATTCGACGACGACGACCGAGAAAGTCAGGCCCCGGCCCGGGTGATGAGAATAACAGCTGAGGTTGCTATACGCGTGTGTGTTCCGAAGTTTCCACATGTAGAAAGACTATCGAGTGCAGGAGTATAATTACTGCTTCACATATTGAGGGCCGAAGTTTAAATAAGGCGTTGACGTGTGTATGTCCTGTGGGACGATAGTTTGCGAATGAGGGAATTTGAATGCAGGGAGAACGCAGAAAATGGTCTTCGTAGAATGGAGTGATACGTTAAATTCGAAGAGATTTAACCCACCGAAGATCTCACAATAAGACCCACAAACTTTGACGATACACGAATTATAAGAGAGTTGACGAAAGAAAGATGTCTCGATTTATAGCTGATCAAAAATTAACTTGTTAACATTTGATAAAATCTTGTAGCAACAGCAACACGAATTACTGCGCGAATCCAATTTGATTTTATCAGGTATTTCGTTGAGTGATTGCTATTTTTAATGTTGACGTGTCATCTTCAAAGGAAAGTTTTTCTCATATAATAAACAAAATCTTTTCTGTAAAGAAATTTTTTCCCGGAAGTTTACTGATGAAACAAAGCAGATCATTATAGTTACTGCTTATCACTTCAAAGATTATACCACTTTACGTCTCTCTTTTAGACAACGAGCAATTAGCTCTCGCAAATGGACAGAGATAATCATGTGTGAGTCGAACCGAAATCATGCCAGATAACAGCCTAGGCAGCACGAAAAAAAATGACATAAAATTGTTATGCCGACAAGAAAAGAACATTATCGTCGAAGAAACGACGCTCTCTATTTCCTTTTAATGGATGTCTAATATTTGTCGTTTCTTGGCGCAACATGAAGTATCCAGGATAACATTACGATTTATGCGTACTTGTACCGAACGCACTAATGGAGTCACGAGCCACGAGTAGTTAATGTACGAGAAGGATATTCCGTTTAGTATTCAAGAATTGTTGAATGAAAACATGCTGAATGGAGAACATGGAGACAGAGCAATACAATTGCGCGTTCCTTTCGATATGCATAAAGCTTTATCATATCAAAACGCGCACGATAATAAGGTAATTTTGACTTCCATCCGATGTGTGCAGTTGATTATTTTCATTAAGAATTAATGAGCGTTACCGGCAACTACAAAATAGTCATATTAACTATATGTTGTCTTAAATATTTATATTGTAGCTAATACGGGTACTTAAAGTCGTTGGTGCCTAGAAATAGTGATAAGAGGATTAGAAAGGGAAAGACGACTTCAAATAATTGTATTAACTATATACTTTAACCGTAGCTAATAATGACTATTTCAAGTTGCTGGTATCTGTAGAAATGCTGAAAGTACGAGAAGGATTAAAGCTATAATATTTTTGCTGAAAATAGATGAAATATTGAAGATTTTTTCCTACAAGGCACTTTATTGATATCACTGTTGAGTATTCGAGCAGAACGTTCGAAAAAAAGTCTGTATTCAAACATTTGGAATGCGATTTTAAACGATCTTTGTTTAATTATATCAAATGTGTAAAATATTGTTAAACAACCATGTTGAATGTATATAAACATGACAAGAATACAGATTTATTACAACAAATTCGATATGATTAGAAGGTTTTAGGATTAAAACAGTGATTCACGATAATTGCATAATGAGCGACCTTGTTGAGCACACAATTATTTCAAGCGGTAGTTTTTACGGCGTTTACTGTTATTTGTTTTAATTATCGAGAAACTTTGCTCGCGACAATAGTGGCGACAAATTGATGTCTCTTTTAATTATCCAAGATATGTGGAGTCAACTATAATTGTTACATGTTCCTCGATAATTAAATCGACACCGATGAAGGTATACCGCTGGCGCAGTACAAAACGTACCGCTACAAAATCCAGTAACAAGTCCGATATTTACGAGCACACTTCAATGCATATACTGCAGTGATGTTGCAGCGCAGGATCAAACGTGTATATTTAATGTCAATTCAGGAATAATAATCGACTGGATGCGCGCCTGTTTCGAGCGCCTAGAATAAGTTCCCTGGTTAAGATAAGGAATGTCGAACTGTAATAAATATCTGTCCTACCATAAAGTGAGATGTTTTCGCAATAGCGAGGTAATCCCAGAACTCAGTGAATAAGCTAGCGTGTCTGCAAAGCTATAGGAATGCATGCCCTGCACAAAGATTCACATAGTTGCTCCTTTGCGAGGCGAATTTAGAAAATAATCTCTCTAATCGTTTACGTAAATGCACCCAGGTTCCATTTTGTATGATTTAAAAATAATTAAGACAAGTTCCTTCGCAGCACATGTCTAGTTGTAGTTTTCTTAGGAATTCTGGCGTGAAAGGAATATCCGCAAGAACATTTTAGTGAATCGATATATCGACACCTTTAACTATGCCTAAGTTTCCTAATATGTTTTTCGATCCAGAGACAGCCGTATAATGATGCTATAAACTTAAATGCATCAGCGTTGGCCACGCCTGACGATAATTCCCTAATTAAACCTTCTTCCCGAGATCCAGATCACCTCGCTACATCGTTAAAGCGACTTTATATGGTACCGTGCGAATATTTGCGTAAGAGGAGTACGTTATTTCGTTAAGATTCTATCCAATATATATTGAGATTGTATTTAAAGCATAATCGTATGTGAGAGGGGTGCACGTGAATTGCGGTTTCAAGGTCAAAAAAGAAACGAGCGATCGTTAATTATTAGATGACGAGTGGTTGCACGATACTAACCCCGGGCCTTGCCGTCATATCTGCCGACGGTTTCGCGAAATCTTATTGTTAACGAGCGACAAAATCGCGGATCCGAATCTTATCAGCTTGACCGGCACAATAAGAGCATTACACTTTATTCAGCGTGTACATTCGTGTCCGGAATATCTCGTTGATCGTCGTTTATCGTTAGATCAGTATTCACCTTTTGCTTAGCGTAAGTTAACGTAAGTTCATTCGCGACATTACTTGCGACATAATACTCGTGTCGATCGCAAGTTACTGTACCTCAGAAAGACTGTTCTGTTTATTTTAAACGGTATACCGATAGACCTTCGTTTATATTATTTTTTATTGTATGTACGTACAATTTAAGCGATAGCTTATAGGGCTGTAGCACATCATGCATCGTGTAACTATTGTATCTACTGTCGATTGTAACAGTAAACGCATTATTATATTACGGTGATAATATAATCAATGTCTTACTTTCTTTTTTAAAATAATATTTGTGTTTTACTTTCCCCATAACAATATACTCGATAATCTATGAACTATTTCAAATTTCTTGTATGTTCATTCAAACTGTCAAGGATTGTAAATATAGTAATAATAAAAACTATTATTAAGAAGAAACCAAAAAAAACTGCACTGTCTTAAAATATATATTGCAATGCTTGGCCTGCACGTAATCAGGCCACATATTAGTAATCTTAAAATTATTAGTTTGCGCTTTTAATTTATTCTAGAACAATGGAATGGCACAACAATAGTATATTATTCCCAAAATAATAAGTATTATTTACTTTAAATAGATTATTTATAAAATAGTCTAATAAATTTCTACCTACAACTAAAATAACAGTCGGTCATAATTAAGACTTGATGACAGTGTTCTTTTCATAACATTTTTAATATCTTTACTAGATATTCATATTTGAAATAATATACAATTTTCGAAAAATTTAACATTATATACAAATACAATATATGTACATTAAAAATTGCACGTAAAAGATCGTGTAATTGAAGTAAAATTACAATATACAAATAAAACAATTATCACAAATATATATGTATACATATTGTAGGCATTTATATGGCATGTATTATTTGCTACAAAAATGATCTATTGAAACACAATTTTGTTAGGCAAGAACGTGTTGCAAAAACGTGCAATTTTCTGTACTATAATATCAATTATTAATATCAATTATCAAGCTTGTACAATTCAAAATGATGCTCCAATCGTCACAAGAAAAATCTTGTTTCTGATAAAGCATCGTATTCGCCATATTTATACATATATTACATTAAATACATTTATATCTGCATATAACAATTCAACAATAATTCAGTACATATGTAAAAATCTTAAAGAATGTATACTTATAAATTATGTATAAACCTAAGTACTAGTAAGGAATTTAAAAATAATTCGAGAAAATTTTCGAGTATTGATTGGTGTGAATATCTAATAATATTTTGATTGATCATCTTTTTAAGATCTTTAAATTCAATATTAATATGGTTTAGTATTAATGATTCCATGCTAATCAGACCAGATAAAAAGATTTTATAAAATATTTTTTCGTTAACATAAAACAAGATTTAAAAAATCTATAAACTGTTTCTTCATTAACATAAGATATCAAAAATAAGCATTTTTTATGAGAAATAATTATAAGAAAATTAAAATATTGACAAATCGCTACTAGTTAATAATTTCTATCAATGATCAATATAATTCGGTAATTGAGTTAATTATCACGATTTTGGCATAAAATTGTAATGGCTATAAATGTAAAACTTGTGCTTAATCTTAAATTTTGCTTCATTGTTACGACTTTGGTTTAATGGGGGTTAAATAATTCTGCGGAACGTAACCTTGTTTACCGTTGCGATTTTCCACGAGCCACCATTCATCGTTTCCTTTCTCATCGTGAGGTCTAAGGAGTCTCAGGGCTTGGCCGTTAATAATAGACAACGTACCCGGCATGTTTCCAGCAAAATCGTACATCGCGTAGTAAAACTGAAAATTAAATTATCATGTTAATAAAAAGATATAGAGCGCAATATCACAATATTAGATATATTACTAACTTCGCTGTGTACATTCTGATACACCTGAACTTTTGGTATTTCGGGAACGTTGCTGTAATTGTGATTTACTTTCGTTTCTTGATCTAATGAAAGTAAATCCTGCAGATGCGACGAAGCCACCACCTTCTTGATCTCTTTCTCTGGAGAATCCAGCGACATTAAATTCGGCGGGCTGGAACTCTTTTTCCCGACAGCAGCGACATCCGATGTGATTTGGTCATGATGCTGACTCTGCCGCTGGACCGATCTCAGTTTTTGAGAAGGCAAAAATCCTTGAGTGACTCCAGTGTCGACAAACCATCTCGTCGGATTACCCATCGGATCCTGCTTCTTTATGACTCCGATCAACGTACCTCTAGCAGCATCCACTTCCAGTGTAGATGTACTGACAACGTCCTCGACCACCACATATAATTTGTCCGGAGTATATTTCTCTCTGAGCGAGGATCTCTGGTCTTCGGTCTGTTTATTACATGATTGCGATTGGCTCTCGTCCATTCGGGTATTCGTGCCAGCAAACGCGAAACGTGTTATTTGATTCCATATTAAATGATGAGTCACGAGAAATGATTCCAGCACATCTTGTGACGATAGATGCGGTGATGTCTAAAAAAGAAAATTATGTTTCGTTTATTCTTGAATTTTACAGCAGACTGAAACGTCAGACTTTTCTACTCAAGTTTTATCTGAATACCTCGCAAAGCGTTAAATATTGCTTGGTAATTTTGCCGCTTAGTAATTTTCGGGCGCCAGCAAAAACATTTATGCAATTAACCAAAATGTTTGCTGCCGCATCCAGCAATATAGGCAATTCCTCCAACAATTGTTGATTCAGAGCTTCGTAATTACACTTGGCAGTGAATAATTCTTCTTGCACCTGAGATAACGTAAAACGAATCAGGAAAAATTATGGAAAGAGACCTGCTTGCAACAAGGAACATTAGAAACGTTAAGTAACAATTACAATTTTTGATTCCTTATATTTCTCACTCTTCGAAATAGCAGCGTCGTAGTCCAGCAATTTATCATGCCTCTTCGCCACCAATACGGCCGGCCCTTCTAACAGCGTCGCTAGAAAATGCAACGGGGCGCTGACCCTTTTCTCGATACACGACTTAAAGTCCTGCATGTATTGCGACCAAATTATAGATCTTATATCCTGCAGCTTTTTCACTTCGGCAGTCGGACTTCCCTGATAATAATGCACCAGCAAATCGGCTATCGCTTCACCCGACATAGCTTCATCACTCAGATACGTGATACACTGCTCAATATCTTTGACCAATTGCCACGTACATTTCTCTGTAGATCGAAATTGCTTCTCCAGTTCCTCAAACTCGGTATCGCTTGCAACATTTGTCAGTCCCAGACTCGCCGACAATCTTGTGCTCAGCCTCGTCGACATTTTTGCCACGGAATGCATACTTAATTTCGACATTTTGCTAAATAAAGTATTATCATTATCTAAATATTTCGATACGATATCTCTTCTCCGCTTGTACTCGTTGATATAACTGGCCACATTTGTCATAGCCTCCCACGTGCCTTGTCGACTCAGTTTATCCGGATGATTGTCTTCTGTGCACTACAAATTAATTTCCACATGCAGGAAAATATTACAATGCGATATAATTTATTTGAAAAGTAATCTGAATTCAATTTCACAATGTTGTTAAAATTTATATATATATTAACTTTTACTGGCACCTCAAAAAAAAAAATATACATCACAAAATTGGACTTTCACTACTTTCAAAATAAACTATTCACACATTTTGTGTAACTAATGCAATTACTTACCTTTATTAATTCATATAACATTAGCGGATACTTCAAAATTCTTTGAACCGGCTTGATCAGAATGGAGCTCATATCAAAGCAAGCAATCTGACGACGTAATGTCTCAATACCCTTGTTAAATACTTTCACGATCTCCTCATTATTTTCATACTAAAACACAAATGAATTTTCGATTCAAATAATCATAACTTCAAATCATCATAAGCTTCTTACATTAATATAAGAATATATGTATAGTTTTTGATTGAAAATTTTGGTTTCATTACCATAAAATACCTTTTTTAATAAAGCTAAAGCAGCTTCATGATTTCCACAATATTTAACATAAACACTTTTCAATTTTTCGGCCATTTTCACGAAACAAGGTCCAATTGTCTGCAAACTTTCGTCGCAACCTTTCATAGCTCTCAGAATCATATCCAATAGCTCCTCGGCAACATGAATAACTTCCAAAATGTTCCCGAACAACGTAGCGACATCAATCCCCTTCGTCTCGAGAAAACTCGGATTGTGCAGGTTAAATGTTTCGTATGTTAACTTCAGATCACGAACATATTCTTTTTCCGTTAGAACTAATTCCGATATTACATTCTGACGCTGATCTGCATGCTTTTGCTTCATATCTCCAGTATTACTGCTCGCAGATTCGTTTTCCCACGTTCCTTTCTTCTGGGCGGCTTCACCATTTGCAATATTCTCCTTCTGTAATGGCACTCTGCCTGGAGCCGGAGCTGGCGGTGCTGGCCTGTGCGGCTGCGAAAGTCTCTTCGGGGTTTGTTCCTCGTTTGCGACAACCTCGTTCGCTTCCTTATGCCTGATCATCACAAAATCTTCAAAGTCTTCGAAATTTGACTCCGGCAGACTGTCCAGCGAATATTCGGACACCGAGCTCAAATATTCCCGCGGGCACAAGCCGACTAGGCCACTCTTATTTTTCACCTTCACCCAATCCTCATTGGCCATTTCCAGCACGGTGACGCTCTCGCCCTCGTGCACGTTCAAATCGCCGTCCATCTGCGCGTCAAAGGTGTACAGCACTTTTACAGTAGCACCCGGATCCAAGGCGTCTTTCTTCGCGGGAATTACTTCAGACTGAACTTGATGTTGCCTCACTTCTGCACAATCGACTATAATATTGACGTAAGACGACGGAAAGATGCCTTTACTGGTGTCGATCATACCCTCTATCCATTCGGAATCAATGTGTCTGGTGAGATGCACTACCTCGCCCGCTCCGAAGCTCAGCTCGTTCGGAAATTGCGCATTAAATGGATATAATGTTATAGCGTACGGCTTAATATCGACGGAATTCGCGTGACTGTTGTACTGCGTGTTGTCTGTATTATTGGTCGTTGACAATACCTCCGGGAACAAGTCAAAGTAACTTGGAGCAGGTTCATCGGACAAGTTTGCATAAGAATGTAAAGAAGTTTCACCAAAATCTTTGTAAATTGTGCCATTATGAACTGCCGAGACGGATGCAACATTGTTCCCAGTTATATACGACACTTCTCCTTGATCGACTGTATCCTGATCTGCTTCCACGTAGGATATAAATCCCTCAGGGAATATGCCTTCCCTGCCGTCTTCCGCGACTCCACGACACCAGCCATCGTCTAAAATTTCTGTAACAATGACCGTCTCTCCTGCAATTAGATCTAATTCCTCGTTGAGTTGCGCCTTCAGCGTCGTTTTTACCTTAGCTCTTTTTCTTATTGATTTATTCTTTATTGTTCTCTGTAAGAGATATCTTTGTTAATTTACGATTTTAGCAGCAGCTAAATAAATATATAATTTTTCGCAGATGCTGCACAAGTGAAATATAATCTCTTTCAATATTTTACCCTCATCAACGTTGTGTCCAATTCCCATGCATGCGTCAGTGGAAAAATTCCATTTTTGAAGCTCGTCCTGCCCATGCACCATCCCGAACCTATGTCTCTCATTCCAATTATGAGTTCCCCTAATAACGAGAAAAAATTTACGTTTCAATTATTATCTATTTCTAGTTACATTAAATCTTAAAAGCTATTGTTACCTCTTCACATTTATTATCGAAACACCTAATCTCGTATCCTTCGAAAAATTTGTTGCGGCATATCTTATAACAATCTTACCTTCCGCGAAAGACAAATCTCCAGTTTCTTGTCCGGGAAAGTTGGCTATGGAAACGAACAATCTTTCCGTTTCGCCAACCTGAGGGACTTCCACCTTGTGCAGGTGACTTAAGGGAAACTTGCCGACTCTATCTTGAGACTGGCCATGGCACCAGTGCTTGTCCACGATCTCGTGTATCTGAAACGAAGATTCTATTGCTTTCAGTTGTTTACACTTGATTGCGCCTCAGGACTGCGGTCGCCGATTACGCGTTCGCAGCGCTCGCGAGCATTATTGGTTCTCGTTTAACATTTGATAAACAACAAGGACGAAATGATTCCAAGAGCGCCTGCGAGACGTGAATCGAAACGCAGCCTAGGTTAGGTGTCAACCGTACGCGCGTACGTATGTACCAGGAAATAATGTCCCTTGGGAAGACTCAGTTCTCCGTCGACGGTGGTGAGGAAGTCGTGCAGCACCCTCGCCAGCGTTCCCGGCTCCATTTCCGCTGCGACACTCGCATCCGTTGAACCCAGCGATAGTGCGACTCGCGAGAGCGGTTGGCGAGCGCTGAGTGGCGTGGCGAAGCGCCTGACAGCCGTCTGAGGCCTCCGAGCAGTCCGAGCTCCGATAAGTGGCTGTCACGTTCACGTGGCATACGCTCTTGTGTGCGTGAATCGAGTTATGTAGCGATTTAATTATGTGGCATTATTGAGAGAAAAATCGTCCACCGTGTCGAGTATGTAAATGAAATATTAATATTTTTGCATTCCAATTGAACATTATCTGCGATAATGGACGTGATAACGGTAAAATATCAATGCCAACATATCATTGAAATTCAATATTTCTGTCAACAAAGCAGTAAAAAAGTTTTAATCCTTCTCGATGAAAATTTTTTAGTATTCAACATTTATAATAAAATTAATGCAACGGTATGTACATTTGAGCGTTTTGAATAATATACAATTTAATTAATAGTTTAGAAAAATTCAAATCGATTAGAATCATTTTTACAAGTTTTAGATAAATTTATATTTGACAAAATTCAAGATAATCGTGATAATTTCTCAGAAGCGTATTATAGGTATATGTATTTCCTTGCAATCTACTTCGTATGTACATACATATATGTATACGTGCGCGTGTCAAGTATATTCGTGGAATCAGCTGATCGGGGAACGCTGCTCGTGCTAATCGTCCTCTGATCATTTCGCACAATTGGAACGATGTCGTATATTTAGTGTATACATGTGTTAGCATTGTACGCATCGAATTATTCTATTATGAGCAAAGTTACATCATGCGAAACAGTCATAGAGCATTAATTGACGTATCTTTGCCAGTGATGAGGTTAGGACGACTGCATAACATAACCTCACACAAGTGTAAACAAACGTTCGCGGAAAGCAATGAAGAGTAATTAAATAATTAATGGTGCGATTTCCCACTGTATATAACTTTTAATATACCCTGTTAATTATTTTCTTTATAATTATTGTGTTGTTTTAATATGCGATTAATAAAAATTAAGAGCAACGTCAAAGTACACCAAGAAGATAACTAAATGATCTTACATAATAAAACTATAACGATATCGAATATTATGTACTATTTACACAGTTAGCAATTATTACATTATTAAGTGTACGAAATTGACAATATTTTTGCAAAATGCATTGCATACGCAAGATCCTAAGTATTGCACAGCGGAATCTGCAAGTATCATGCAACCAAGTTGATACAATTTACAAGAGCTCGGGAATACCGCTACGAAATATCGTTTGTCGTTTCAATCACGACTCCGAGGAATGTGTATCCGCGGAAGGTGAGAGGGACCAGGAGTACGTCAGGCTCACCAGTCATTATTTAGGCATTGCAGTCGGTGGGCACAGGACGTTTGTTTTACAGCCGTACATAAAATGGGGCAGGGACAAGAAGAGGAACACCTCGCCGGAGCTGCAAATGGCCGAGGCTGTGGCGCTGATAAACAGTCTGCCTAACTGGTGCGTAGTCGGTGCGAAGTACGCCCCGTTACTCTCGTTGCAGAAGAAGCAACTGCTGGGCACCGGCTCGATGGAGGACTTGAAGAAGGAATTAGGTAAATGCGGTAACCCCACTGCCGTATTTGTTAGCACCAATATGCTGAAATTCGTTCAGATCAGCCGACTGGAGAAGATCCTCGGTCTACCGGTGTACGATCGTTACTCCATAGTCATCCACATATTCCGCGAGCACGCGAAGACTGCAGAGGCGAAATTGCAGGTGTCCTTGGCGGAGATACCGTACATTCGGAAGAAAATACTTGAAACGAGCGTCACCCGCACCGGCGCGATAAACGTGACGGAGGAGTCGAAACTGTTCCTTGACGGTAAAGAGAGGAAATTGAGGAACGAGCTGAAGAAGTTGCAGCAGCATCGACGAACAATCAGGAGTCAGCGTAAGAGGCACGGCTTCCCCACGGTCGCCGTGGTCGGTTACACGAACGCGGGGAAAACATCCTTGATAAAAGCGCTCACGGATGACGGCGCTTTACAACCCAGAGACAAATTATTCGCGACTCTCGACACGACCGCGCACGAGGGCATTTTGCCCAACAAGTTAAAAATTTTGTACATGGACACCATTGGATTCATTCAGGACGTGCCGGAAACTCTGATCGAACCATTTGTTGTGACCCTGGAAGATGCCATGATTGCTGTACGTTAATCTTATATATATATATTATTGCCTGTCCCCTTTTCTCTCGCTGTTATGTTTCTTAACATATAGAAATTTTCTAATTTAAGAATTCTCTTTTCTAGGACGTGATAGTTCACATATATGATGCCAGTCATCCCGACATGAAGGCGCAATATCAGCATGTTCAGAAGACGATAAAACCCATGTTGGACTCTCGTCCAATAATTGACGTTGCCAATAAGTGCGATCTTGTTCAAGGCGACTGCATACCTGAGGATGCGATTGCCGTTTCCGCTAAGAATCTGACAGGTGCGAATCAGAATTCATTGTCGCCATTAATGAATCGGATGGATGCAATTTGAGTGTGACAACTTTAACGGCTTCAACATTTACAGGAATCGATTTGTTGCGCTTGAAGATACAGGAAGTCCTTTTAGCCACCACCGGACTATTAAGCATACGCGCGAGGGTAAAAGCGGGCAGTCCTGCGGCCAGCTGGTTGTACAAAATGACGACAGTGACAAACGCCGAGTCAGATCCGGACGACGCTCAGTATTTAATTATGAAAGTGATCGCCACTTCGGTCGATATTCAGAAGTTCAAGAAATTTTTAAAGCAATAAAAAAGTTTATACCACATTTTATTATCCCCTTCTTTTCACGTAATAGAAAGAGCTCATGGCACTCTCTGTGAGAATCTAAAATAATTCGGTAGCACGATAATTTGACAGCAGTCTTTCTCTTTTGATTAATCTTATCTATTTTATGATTAAGAAAGATTACAGATCATCTATCATTGTCGTAATATATTTGAGTAGCGTTTGTAATAATATTGTAATTTAAAAACAATTTTGTTCTCCGAAAAAAGAATACTTTAAATTCCTTGGGCCAGATATATTAAAGATTTTTAATATTAATTTGCATGATTTACGAGTAGTGATTTACTGTCAAAAGTGTGTAGCAGAAAGAAATATAAAGAGCACATGTATCGCTATTGTTATCGAAAAGATCATAAATATCTGAACTACTGAGAATATTTTTTGCTCGAATAAATCACGCACGTGTACGCATAGAGAACGCACTCGAAAATCTTAGGAATATCCTTGAGCGCGGCATGCTGCTAAGAAGTCATTTCTTTTTACAGCTCTGCAGTCAGTATATGTACACGTGCTCAGCACGTGTTTCTCTGCAATCGGCAGACGACATGACTTAAAATTTCAAGCAAGAGATACTCGTTAGGGCTATTAACGAGATTAAAGACTTTATCACGGCGCTCAGGCACAGCCGAAGCAAGTATACAATTTCTAAAGTTTGTTCTGTAAATAGGATTTCGTACTTAAAGCGAAGCTTATCGCTTGCGCTCTAAACTCCGTAATATCTCCATTGATATCTACGAACGCTGTCGTTGATTAGAGCGGAAGAGAACGTTCTCGATAAATTGCGCTATTTACATAACAATCGTGAAAAAATAGATTTAACGAAAAAGTAAAAATATATTTAATGAAATAGAAGTTAGTTCTTTTGTTGTAAAATATGAAGAAAAAAGACTATTCGACATAATTCTCAGAAATTTTGGAATCGAAAATCATCAGGGTTGGGTAGTGCCTAGTTAAAAAGATAAAAGTTAAGTTAAAAAGTTAAATAATTTTAACTTAACTTAGTTACATTTTAGGCTCTTAACTTTTAACTTAATTTAATTACATTTTATCGGTATAACTATTAACTTTTGATCTTTCTTGAAATTACATTTTTAGTGCTTCTTGTAAACCCAAAATAAAATACCTACATGTCTAAGTTAGTGTCTTCAAACTCAAATTTAAGAACACACATCAAGGCAATTGTAATAAATATATAGTCTGGCCGCGGAAAGGAACTCACAGAATCACTGCAGTTTGCGGACCTTCTGTGCATTAAATCACGTTGGAAGAAGTCCTTTGAAATCGGTTCTCTTTCCGCGGCTCGACAGAAATAAGTATAACAAATACATACTTTATTTAGAAACTTTTTTTAGAAACCCTAAAATTATAAAATGAAAAAATTTGACTTTAACTTTTCAATTACTTTTTTTTATTAACTTAACTTTTAACTCAATTAATTTATTATGGACTAACTTGTATCTTAACTAAGTTAAATTTTTAAACTGTTAAATTTAATTTAACTTAGTTAAAAATATATATTAACTTATATACCCAACCTTGAAAATCATAAAACTATTTTTTTCAAAGTTCTGTGCCTTTCAAGAAATAATATACATTTTTCCATAATTATACATGAAATCCGGCAAAAGTGCATTTTGTCAGAGAAACTTCGATAAATTTTCTCATTTCTGAGGTCATAGTAATCGATCATATCATGCCGCCGTATAAATATTAACACTCTTCTGACAGAAAAGGTCGAAACATTTTTAACGAATTGTAAATTTTTAAAATTTTTATTAACACTCATTTTTTCGAAATATAAAAGTTTGATGCATTCGTTACATATATGGCTTCGTGCTTCTCGACCGAGGAAAATGTGATGCCAGTTCAATGTTGCAGATGGCATGTATATATCTGGCGAGAAGCACTCAAACAGGAAGAGGGATCTCTGAGAAAGAAAAGGCTCTACGAGTTTTCGTGCGGAGAATGCGCGCGGCGTGAAATTTGGCAGCCGATCGATCTTCGCGGCGTCTGGATCGTTGCCCGATGGAAAAGATCGCCGCTCGCCTCGTTTAGCTATCGCCCGCGCCGTTATTAAGAGTTCCGTTTGTTTGCTTTATCTCTTCGCTCGCGCGAGTATACGCTTGGCGATCAACCACCGCGAGAGAGAAACTTCACGACGAGGGTGCCGTCACGGCGCGATGTATGTATAATTCATAGAACCCGATGGCTCCGCGCGTCCAAAGGGTGTCCCGGTAATTTTATATACGGCGATAAGCGGAAAGCGCCGCGATGTTTTTTTTTTCCCACAACGCACGACGCTCTCTTTATCTAAACGAGGAACTTAATCCGCTCGTTGTAATCTCGAGAGTCCCACTCTATATAGCGTATGTGTCTTTCTTATCGGCGAATGCGCGCGATAGCTACGCCGCGACCGAACACAATTTTACCGTCGTAAAATTCAGTCGGGAGAACGTATAACGTGAAACGGACGCGAGTCGGAGGGGATGATTGCCAACGAGTCGTGACAGCTATACGTTCTATGCGGGCGACTCTCGACCGTAAAACTCTCTCCAGTACGCACTAACCCGAGCAACGCGTCATTAATATCCGGTGACGGCGGGACACCCTGTGTGTAGCCTTATAAAGTGCCCCGGCAGAATTAATCGCGCCGCGCGCGCGCGCGAAGGAAGAGTCTCCGAGACTCTCCGCGCGTCGTCCTCTGGCTGCGGGAATTAATGAAGGATTGATATCGCGATTATGTTGTAGCAATAGCGCAGAAGAGGGTCCGGCGGTGGGGCACCGTGTGGGCCGATCGGCAGCAGCGGCGGCGGCAGTGCGGATCGTGGCGATAATTAATTGCAGGCGTGACGGCGCTTTAACGTCGTTAATTTTCATTATCTCGATCGGAATCCGCTTGTAGCGCGGAGCGCCGCCGCTTTGCAGCTCGCTAATTTCGCGCGCACATGCTCGCTCGCTCGCTCGCTCGCTCGCCTTGTAACCTTGCGCTTCCGGGAAACGCGTTAACAATTCTTGGGGGTGAGCTCCACCGGGGATGGAGTGGGAGGAGGCAGGGGAGTCTTGCAAAATTTGTCACACGCTCGCGACTACGGTGATGCTAATGTTACGACCGCGCTCCTGCGGCCGGGATTCGCGGCGCGCGAGGACGCGCGCGGATGCACTTTGCGTGCTGTTTGGATTATTAAAGCGATCCGGGTAAAACCTAATTATCGCGGTGGCCAACCGAACGACAGGTCTTCACCGCTATCCGCCCAGCATGTATATCGGGCGATGTAGCCCAAGCCACCCGCTATGCGGTGTATTCAGATTGATCTGACGAGCTCATCCGCGCTGCAGCTTTTCATTTATCAAAGAAAGCTGCATTCTTAATTTTGAATGTAAAAATGGGCGTCATAATTTTCAACTCTTTTAATAACGCTCACGTATCTGACAAGGGAACACACAGAAGTTCCCCTCCGATTTAAATCAGCTTTGGATATGTTAAAATACAGACAAAAATAAGGTATTCATTATTTTTTCATACGTGCTGAATTGCACGTTAAGGGAATGATATCCAGCCTTAAAAAAAAATCCGTTTCTTTTTCTGAGTATAAATATCATGTAAACCGTAAAAGATATGAAAAAAATTTTTTAAACAAAAGTTTTACAATTTCAAGTGCGCTTTACAAAGGTGCATTTTAATTTAAAAAAAATCATATTTTTTACTACCCCCCACCCTTAATTTTCAAAAATTAAAATGCGCCATTGTAAGGCGCACTTGAAATCGTAAAACTTTTGTTTGAAACATTTTTTTCATATTTTTGACGATTTACATGATATTTACTCAGAAAGAAAAAAAACGGATTTTTTTCAAGGCTGAATATCACTCCCTTAACGTGCGACTCAGCACGTATAAAAAATTGTTAGTATCTTACTTTTGTCTGTATTTTAACATACTCAAAGCTCATTAAAATCGGAGGAGGAAACTTCCGTGTGTTCCCTTGTGAGTGCGACGCTTAAGATGAATCCTTATTATTCCCATCCTTAGATCAATTTAAGAAAAACAAAAATTAATATAACGCCGTTTCTTACTTCCTGAACAAATCTGCCGTGAAAAGTGGCAACGATAATGGAGATTATTTGCTACGGCGGTCCATTAGATTGTCGCTGTACCCCGGCCAGTCCGGACCGGACCCGTGTTTATTTAAACACGCTTTAAATACAAAGCTGCGGTTTGACTGGGAGGGAAGGGGGGGACCTATCGCGCCTGCCCCCGGCAATTAAGCGAACGATTGGCTAACGAACGTCGATCGCCTCGCCGAGTGCGCGACTCGTGTAACGTAATGACCGCTGTGCTGATTTGCTCGCCGTTACGGATTCAATTACGGGCGGCCTGTGCCCTGGTATTTTGCACGGCGCGACACGCCCGAACGTTCCGAGATCAACGGCGGAAATTAAATTAAACCTAACGCCGCTTATACGCTACGCGCGCATAAATAACGAAAGTGACACCAGCCATCGGCCCCGGTACCTAACGAACATAATCCGATACTTGCGTTGTTTTAAGCGCCGTTCAGCCGCGCGCGCTGCCAGGCAATAGGCGAGCCGCGCGACGCTGCCTACTAAATGAAGTTCAGATCAAACAAGGGCTGGCGCTAATTGACTTTAACCGAAACACCGATCGGTTAGCGCCGATCGTTTTTATTAACTCTCTACCGTCCAATGCAACTTTCAAGTCACATAACCGTTAGTTTCGATTATACCTTGTCCACGCTTTATTATAAAAAAATTTTAGATTTTCTACTTTTTTTAATTTGCATAGATTTGTTACATTATATTTTATTGGAATTTCATTTATCAATTCAAATGGTATATATATTGAAAATTTCTTGGAAAAATTGTAATTTAATAATGAAGATTTACAGTTGTCTAAAAAAATCAGTTTTATCGAAACTGACGTTTTTTAACTGCTTAAAAACCAATTTGTTTGATGTGCAGTAA